ACTGACTTGTTTTTCTCTATTTTTTTTTTTTTTTTTTGGAGATTAAAGGGGGACATTGGTCCCCTTGGCACTTGGGTATTTATGCCACTCTCGCCTTTCTGGGGAAAAAATTTTGGATTTGGGGTGGATGGTTCTATCAAAATGTCAGTTCAGGGTGCATCGGTGGAATAGAATAACAGAATAACAGAGTTGGAAGGCACCTTGGAGGTTTCTTAGTCCAATCCCTGCTTGAGCAGAAGACACCATATAATTCCAGAAAAGCAAGTTTTCTATTATGGAACCAAAGAAACTGATTCCATATTACAGGTAGTCCTCAACATATGACTACAATTGAGCCCAAAATTTCTGTTGCTTAGTGAGACATTTGTTAAGTGAGTTTTGCCCCCATTTTACGATCTTACTTGCCACAATTGCAGTGAATTGTTAGGTGAGTAACGCGGTGGTTAAATGAATCTGGTGTTCCCCATTGACTTTGCTTGTCAGAAAGTCACCAAAGTGGATCCCTTGATCACGGGATACTGCAACCATCATAAATATGAGTCAGTTGTCAAGCGTCCGAATTTTGATAACCATGAGGATGCTACGATGGTTTTGAGTGTGAAAAATGGTTGTAAGTCACTTTTTTCACTGCCGCTGTAATTTTGAATGGTCACTAAATGAACTGTTGTAAGTCGAAGACTAAGAATCAGAATCAGAATCAGAATCAGAATAGAGCTGGAAAGGACCTTGGAGGTCTTCTAGTCCAACCCTCTGCTCAAACAGGAGATCCTATACCCATGATGGCGAACCTATGGCATGTGTGCTACAGGTGGCACGTGGAGCCATATCTGCGGGGACACAAGCCGTTGCTCTAGTTCAGCTCCAGCGTACATGTGTGTGCCGGCCAGCTGATTTTTGGCTGCCCCGCCCCTCCCCTCCCAGGAGTCTCCACACAGCCTGTTTTGGATGCCAGGGCTTACGCGGAGGCTCTGGGAGGGAGTTTTCGGTCTCCGGAGGGCCTCCGGTGGGGAGGGGAGGCCATTTTTACCCTCCCCAGGCTCCAAAAAAGCTTCTGGAGCCTGGGGAGGGCGAAAAACGGGCCTTCTGGTTCCATCGGAAGTCAGGAAACGGGCCATTTCTGGCCTCCAGAGGCGTCAGGGAGGCCTGTTAGGCCCAAAATGAGGCACACGTGTGTGTGTGTCACACATGCATGTGCAGGGGGGCAGGGTGCAGGGGGATTGAATTATGGGTGTGGGCACGCACACGGTCCCCCCCGCACTCCCCCCGCTTCTGGCACGCAACGGCAAAAAGGTTAACCATCCCTGTCCTATACCATTTCAGACAAGTGACTGTCCAGTGTCTTCTTAAAAACCTCCAGTGATGAAGCACCCACAACATCTGAAACTACCTGTATTAATAAAGCATCTGAAACCGGTATAACACACACTATTTTAGGGATATTTTCTCCCAAAAGTGAAAATTAAGCAGAGTGTCCTGAGCGGGTGGTCAAAAAATGAAGGCTACAGCAGTGCGAACATTGAGGGCTACAGCAGTGCGAACAAAAATCATCATGCCAACTGATTTTTATATGTGTCGTATGTGTGTATCAGATATAAAAACCAAGTGGGACTTCAAATGCATCGCAACAACCGACATCTTGACTTTTTTTTTAGCCACACCTTGGAGACACCTCTGCTTTCCAGTTGTGGCCCCCTTCATCATATGCTTTCTGTGCCTTTCTTCTGTACTTTCTAAACTTAAAACTTTCCATAGCAACATCTGTGATTTTAAAAAAATACATAAATGGAGAAATCTGATTAAAAGATCCCTTCTGTGACCTGTAGCACGGATCCTAATTTTTTTTTTTTAAAGGAATGGGTGTATGCATATGAAATGCCACTGAAATTAATCAGATGGGGTAGGAAGGAAGGAATGAAGGAGAGGATTTGCCTTCTTTAATTAAACATTAAACTAGGAAGGGATCTGCTTTGTGCCAAATCACATCTTGGATTGATCTCATTTAGTCCTTATGACACTGACGGTCGTAGCTCTCCAAAAGCTGAATGTAAACTTCTAGATTACACTGGGACTTGATATATACAAAGCAAACCTCTATCTTCTCCCACCCAAAATATTAAAACAAGATCCCAGTACTCACATTTCTAAGTACCGTACAGAAAAGCACTTTATCTTCTTTCTTTTAGCTATGAAAACATTTGTAGTAGAAAAATGTTCCTTCTCTAAACCAGTTGTCCCAAAGGTGCTTTTTCAGGAGGCAACTGGACTGTTGTTTTCTCTCTCTTTTTTTTTTATTGAAAAGTTTTATGAAAAATACAAACATTTTCACCCCCCCACCCTTCCCCCCTCAACCCCCCCTCCCCTTCCCACCCTCCCTTCCCCTCCCTCCCCCCACCCCCCTCCCTAGACTTCCCAGAACGAGCACAGGGTATAGCATTCACAAACCAAGAACTAAAATGTGCTAACAAATTATTACATTTCATATTCTCCCTAGGTCCTTAACTCCTTATAACTCAGAAAAAACAAACATAAACTACTTAATATTATTTCATTCATAAGCTATATGAATCTTCTTATTCGGATACTTCTTCTGTATGTAATCAATCCATTTTCTCCATTCCGATATATATCTCTCATTTGAATGGTCTTTAAGGTATGATGAAATTTTTGCCATTTCCGCCAAATGCACAACTTTTAATGTCCATTCCTCAATAGTAGGTGGATCTTCCTTCTTCCAGTACTGTGCCACCAGTAATCTGGCAGCTGTTATTAAGTTCAAAACCAGCTTAGTCTCTATTACAGTACAATCCGTAACTATTCCCAACAGAAAAAACTGTGGTGTAAATTTAATTTTTTTCTTCAAAATATTTTGAATAATCCACCATATTTTTATCCAAAAAGCCTTAATCTTTTTACATGTCCACCATATATGAAAATATGTAGCATCTTCACACTCACATCGCCAACACTTGGGTTGTAAATTTAGATACATACAAGCTAGTTTTTTTGGGTCTAAATGCCATCTATAAAACATTTTGTAAAAATTCTCCCTTAAATTTTGTGCTTGTGTAAATCTTACATTTCTAACCCATATCTTTTCCCATGTTTCCATCATTATTGGTTCACCTACATTTTGTGCCCATTTTATCATACAATCCTTGACTAAGTCTGTTTCTGAATCTATTTCCAATAATGCATTGTACAACCTTTTTATGTGCATTTGACCTTCATCTCTTATTTGCTTTATCAAATTCTCATCCTGCTGCAAAATACCAATTTTTTGATCTTCTCTCCATCTGGCCAGCAGCTGTCCATATTGAAACCAAGTCTTAATAATCCCTTCTTCTTTTAATTGTTCCATAGATTTTAACTGTAGTCTGACTCCTTCCTTATAAAGGAGTTCCTTATATGTAATCTTATCTTGCTTTTGCTCTAAATTTATGTTCTCTATCGCGTGTCTGGGTACTGTCCATATTGGTAACCTATCATTTAGTTTATATTTATACTTTTTCCAGACACGCAATAGAGCATTTCTTAATATATGACTTTTAAAAGTCTTATCTACTTTCTTATCATACACTAAGTAAGCATGCCAGCCATGACTGTTGTTTTCTCTTTGAAGATGTTTCGCTTCTCATTCAAGAAGCGTCTTCAGTTCTGACAGGGTAGTGGGGAATGGAAGGATCCTGACAGAGCTGAAGAAGCTTCTTGGATGAGAAGCGAAACATCTTCAAAGAGAAAACAAGAAAGTCCAGTGGCCTCCTGAAAAAGCACCTTTGGGAGCATCATGACCTGGTTGACTGAGAATCTCTACAGTCTCTAAACCTTAAGAACCTGAAGGTGTCTGGACTCCAACTCCCAGAATTCTGCTGGTGGACGAATTTGAGGAATGTTAGCTGGGGAATTCTGGGAGTTGAAGTCCACATATTTTCATGTTGCTCAGGTTGAGAAACACTGCTCTAGATTGCCTGGAAAGAAGAGATGTCATGAAGTGGGAGGGGGGGAGAGAGAATCTGTTTTAATTTTTGAAGATGGTGAGCTGCTGAATTTGGAGGGTTTCCAGGCTGGGACTTTCCCCTGATAGTCCATCAATAAGGGCATCCTGTTGTAGAATGCATTTGATAGATCATAAGTTAATCAGAGTCAGATTTTGATAACAGACGACTGGGACACCATTAAGAAATCTTAGGGTTGTTGGTTAAGCTGGAAAGAAAATAGCAATACAGGTAGTCCTTGACTTACAACAGCTTGTTTAGTGACCATTCAAAGCTACAATAGCACTGAGAAAAGTGACTTATGATCATTTTTTCACATTAATGACCATTGTGGCCTCTCCATGGCCACATGATCAAAATTCAGACGCTCAACAATTGGCTCATATTTGTGACGGTTGCTATGTCTCGGGGTCATGTCGGGATCCCCTTTTGCAACTTTCTGACAAGCAAAGTTAACGGGAAAGACAGATTCACTTAACAACCGTGTTACTAAGTTAAAAACTGCAACGATTCTCTTGACAACTGTGACAAGAAAGGTCGTCAAATGGGGCAAAACTCTCTTAACTACTGTCTTGCTTAACAACATAAATTTTGGACTCAATTCTGGTCATAACTCAGGGACTACCTGCATCCTATTTGCAAGAAAGCAAATAGTGAACCGTTTTCACATTGTTGCAGTGAAATAACAGGAAGGTATCTGTGAGTTGAATTTAACTCGAGGGAATGTTTTTCGTCGCCATTTCAATAGAAATCCGATACAAAGCTAACCTGAGCAAATCTCCAAAGAGCGAAATGGAATTCAACTGGAAGATGGGAGACTAACTGGGGATCCCAGGTCTATAAGCTAGCTGGGAAAGATTTTTTTAAAAATCCACAAATCAGGCTGCAGCCAGCCATTTTTATATTATTGTTTCAGAATTATGGAATTAAATTTAGCTTAATGGAATCTTAACAGTGTGTGGATCAGGGAATTCTAATAACAATGATTTTTTTTTTTTTTTTTGCAAGGCTCAAAATAACTTGTCCTGGGAAAAATTGTACCAAAAAGATCATCTTTTGGAAAGTTATTCTCTCCCTCTCCCCCAATGATTACAACACAGACTGTGCTTTAGATCGACACAACACTGCCTTTCTGAAAGCGGGATGCCCCATCACCTCCAGGGGTGCCTTCCTCCCCAACAGGTTTGGCCTTTCATTGGTAGCTCAAGCTCTCCAGATCTCAAATCTGGCTTGTTGTTTTTTTCCAGCCATTCGTTGAAAAAAACACATCCTTGGTAGAAATGTCCATTGTCAATGGAGTGCCAATAAAGTAATTTTTCTGGCGGTTTCTATTTTTTTTGTTTGTTTGGAAAGAAAGTTGACAGAGTGTGGGGGGGGGGAACTGCCTGCCAACAGTGGAGCCTTGCGTGGAAATTCTGGCTGCTGAAAGAAGCCGAGGCAAAGTACATTAAGTATTGAAAAGCTTGAAATTTGGATAAAGAGGGCCGAAAAAATGGGTGAGAGGGAGTCAAAAGGGAGAGGAGAAGACAATGGGCGAACGAGGCCGTAGGGACTTCCTGAAAGGGTCTTAGAAATTCAAAAGAGCTGCGCCCCGGCCTCCGAGTGCTTGTCATTCACAGCTGCAGGACAGAGATCACCAAGCCTTGCGCCAAACAATGCCGAATTGTTTCCAGAAGGTGGGAAAATTGTAGGTCTCAACGCTTCTCGCTCACACCAGCGGTTCCGCTAGTCAAACATGCGTTCCACTTGAATCAATTCTGGACACTAAGTTAGCATAATCCCCACCAGTCTTGCTATGACAACTTGAAGGAGAATTTGGAGGGGTGTGAGTGACAGCAGACGCCATACTGACAAGGCAGAAAGAAGGGAAGCTCATAGCCATCCATCCATCCACCTGACCCCCCCTTCCTTCCCTCCTTCCTCTTTCATTCTTCCTCTTTCCTCCTTCCTTCCTTCCTTCCTTCCTTCCTTCCTTCCTTCCTTCCTTCCTTCCTGTCTCCTTCTTCTCCTTCCTAATTTCACCCTCTAAAACTGGCATATTTTTGGGCGGGGTGTCTACATTTGGGATCCAAAGGCAATAAGCATAGTGAATTGAAGCCAATTTCAAAGTGATTTATTTTGTGGTCTCCTTATTCTCTCCAATCTAATCCCCCCTATACACACATCCAAACACACACACACACACACACACACATACATAAACCCTCTTCCCGGATTTACCGGTTGTTTGACAAGTGCAAATGAGAACTGACATGTTACGCCTGCCACCGGGAGCGAAGAATGCATTTCCGGGTGCGCCCTTGTGGGAAATGGCCTTGTTTTCTGCCAATCTTTTGAGCGAAGAACACGCAGTTCAGGCCGGAAGGACATGCACCTCTCCTGAAACTGGGAGAGCAGAGGTCAGAAGGCCCCCTGCGCGACAACATGGTGTGATACCTTGGAGAAATGAGAGGGAGGTCATACCCCACTGTTTTGCCGTACGTAGAGACAATGACATCCTTCAGTGGCCTTATTCCTTCCTCTAACAAACACGCACTTCAAAATTAGGGCCAGCTCAGGAGTGAGATACGAAGATGGCAGAATGGCCAAGGGAGGACAAAATGTACAGTCTTTTTGTCAGCATGATTTATGGCCCTAATGGGGAGGCTCCATCACGGTTGTAAATTGAGGACTACCTATAGAGTGGTACTATCACATGTTCTTGATTCATGTGTAACAGCGTAGGACTGCATTGGCTTTTTTGGCAGCTGCAGCACAATGTTGGCTCATACAGGACTTAAGTGGTTGCCCTTTAGGGGAACACTTAGTTCCTTCTCATGGTTACTGCTGTTGAACCAGGTACCACCTATTCTATAACTGTGCATTTGGGTTTTCCTACCTAAATGTAGGACCTTAACTTTTCTCACCACTGAACTGCAACTCTCCTCTCCTTGTTACCTTCTGGGAGGAAGGCTTCGTGGTAACCGAAGCAGAACATCTGGTCTGTGCCGTATAGCATCAACCTTGTGAACTCTCAAGTTTTCTCTTTCCACTACGTATTCAAAATGGACAGTGATTTACAATATATGTGTATGTGTGTGTGTGTTTGTTTGTTGCAGGTATGTATCGGGGTGAATTCCAGCAGGTTCTGACAGGTTCTGGAGAACCGGTAGCGGAAATTTTGAGCAGTTCAGAGAACTGGCAAATACCACCTCTGGCTGGCCCCAGAGTGGGGTGGGAAGGGAGATTTTGCAATATCCTTCCCCCCAGGAGTGGGGAGGGAATGGGGATTTTGCAGTATCCTTCCCCTGGAGTGGGGAGGGAATGGAGATTTTGCAGTATCCTTCTCCGCCCACCAAACCACGCCCACCAAGCCACACCATTCCCACCAAGCTATGCCCGCAGAACCGGTAGTTTGGATTTCACCACTGGTATGTATGTATGTGTGGTGCAGGTATGCATATATGTATATGTATGTGCAGATAGGTACTTATGTATGTATATAGCATGTGTATATGTGCGTTATGTATGTGTTTGGGTAGACTTTCTCTTGAGAGCAGGCAACAGAATTTCATTTTTAAAGTGGGCCAGTGTACTCACAGTAAAAAAAAATGACAATAAAGTTCTCTTCTCTTCTCTTCTCTTCTCTTCTCTTCTCTTCTCTTCTCTTCTCTTCTCTTCCCATCCCATCCCATCCCATCCCATCCCATCCCATCCCATTTAATTGAAAAGGGCCCAGTGCTAAAGTCTGTCAAAATCCTTCTGAACCTTAAATCTATCTTCCAAAGTCTTTGCAATTTCCCTGAGCTTGTGTCATCTGCAAATTTGATGAATGTCCCTTCAATCCCCTCATCTGGGTCATTTATGAAGATGTTGAAGAGCACTGGGCCCGAGACAGAGCATTGAGGATAGGGTTTCCTGCTTGAGCAGGGGGTTGGACTAGAAGACCTCCAAGGTCCCTTCCAACTCTGTTATTCTACACAGATGTAGTTTATTTATTTGTTATTTATTTATCACATCTTTATTCTGCCTTTATTACATTTTATAAATAAGGAGGCAAATATACCTAAATACTCTTTCCTCCACCTATTTTCCCTAGAACAACAACCCTGTGTATTGGATTGGGTTAGTCTGAGAGAGAGAATGACTGGCCCAAAGTCACCCAACCAGTTTTCATACCTAAGGTAGGATTAGAACTCACCATCTCCTAGTTACTAGGCCAGTACCTTAACCACTAGGCCAAACTGTCTCCCTTGTTCCTAGTTGATTGCGGTTGGTTGGTCGACTGCAAATCCATCTGGACTTCTGATAAGAATCTTGTGGTTTTTTTCCCAAAATCGGACTTGCTTGTATTAGCAAAACCATGAGGACTAGAATCTTAGTTTAACAATAGCATAGTGACAGGCCACAAGGTCGAAACTTTCCACGCAAAACTTTCCAAGTTCAAAACTGGCATCTCCAGGTAGGGCAGGTGTAGGTCCTGATGCCACCTGGCGAAGGGAAGCTTTCCATATTCCTGAAATTATGTTTCCTGCTTCTTATATCCAGGGTGATGGGATACTGAACTCTTGCAGACAAATACAAGCTGTCCCTCCACCTTTTCATCTTAAAAACAGATTCTGCGGTATAAACAGCGCCTTGGGCTTTTTCTAGTTGACATTCACCCAAACTGCTATTATTTAAGAGGGGGCATTATTTTTTTTTCTCTACCCAGCCTAAGCTTGCTGTTTAAGGAAACCTTGTTAACATTTCCCAGGCATAAGTGTGTTGTCATTTTCAGACCTCAGATCCTTTGTCAGCATTTCTTCGACTTCATTTTCTGACCACAGGGCAGATTTTATGTAGGGCGCATATATAAAGGTAGTGGGGGCAGGAGTGCGTGGGCATAACCAAATGCGCAGCACTGAGTCTCTGGCGAAAGCATTTTTTCTCCCCGAAGACTTAAATATACCTGGCCTGTCACTCTCCATTCTTTTTTAAAAAAAAAAAATGAGGAACTTTTTGCGGGAGTCTAGCAGGAGTCCTCGACTTACGACCATTGGTTTAGCGACCGTTCGAATTTATGACGGCAAAGGTGACTTACAACTGGTCAGAATCAGAATAGAGCTGGAAGGGACCTTGGAGGTCTTATAGTCCACCCCCCCCCATTCAAGCAGGAGATCCTATACCATTTCAGACAAGTGACTGTCTTCTTAAAAACCTCCAGTGATGGAGCACCCACGATTTCTGAAGGCACTGGTTGATTGTCCTCACTGTTAGGAAGTTTCTCCTTAATTCCAGGTTGCTTCCCTCCTTGATTAGTTTCCATGCATTGTTTCTTGTCCTGCCTTCTGGTGCTTTGGAGCCTCTCAAATACTGGAATACTACTATCATGTCCCTCTAGCGACTACTCCTTCTTTTCTCCAGACTGGCCATATCCAATTCCTGCAGCCGTTTTTCATATGTTTTAGTCTCCAGGCCTTTAATCATCAGAGGGTTAGAATCAAGATCATGTGAAGTGCTGATACCACTTTATAATGCCTTGGTAAGGCCACACTTGGAATACTGCATTCAGTTTTGGTCGTCACGGCTCTTTCTAGAGTCTCAAAAGATGTTGAGACTCTAGAAAGAGTGCAGAGAAGAGCAACAAAGATGATTAGGGGACTGAGGCTAAAACATATGAAGAACGGTTGCAGGAACTGGGTATGTCTAGTTTAATGAAGAGAATGACTAGGGGAGACATGATAGCAGTCTTCCAATATCTCAGGGGTTGCCACAAAGAAGAGGGAGTCAATCTGTTCTCCAAAGCACCTGAATGCAAGACAAGAAGCAATGGGTGGAAATTAATCAAGGAGAGAAGCAACTTAGAACTAAGGAGAAATTTCCTGACAGTTAGAACAATTAATCAGTAGAACAACTTGCCTCCAGAAGTTGTGAATGCTCCAACACTGGAAGTTTTTAAGAAGATGTTGGATAACCATTTGTCTGAAGTGGTGTAGGGTTTCCTGCCTGGGCAGGGGGTTGGACTAGAAGACCTCCAAGGTGCCTTCCAACTCTGTTATTCTATTCTATTCTACCTTACTTGCTCTTCTTTGCACTTTTTCCAAAGTCTCAACATCGTTTTTTTGTAATGTGGTGACCAATGCAGTATTCCAGGCTTCGCTTTATTAAGGCTTTATAAAGCGGTACTAATACTTCATGTGGTTTTGATTCTATGCCACTGTTTATACAACCAAGGATTGTATTAGCTTTTTTGGCTGCCGCCGCACACTGCTAGTTCACGTTTAAGCAATCGCCAACTAAGACTCCAAGATCCCTCTCAGCAAGGTCCTCACACTTACAACCATCGGAGCATCCACATGGTCACCCAATG